GAAACAAGTCAAGGTGCCGTCGACGACAGAAGCACCTAACAGCGCCGCCGCCGCCGTCGGGGGCGGCGCGCCTGGCCGGGGCAGCGCCGGCTCGCGGCCGAAGCCGTCAACGAAGTAGACCGCGTTCCGGCAGACGAGAAGCAGGCCGCGCTTGACGACCACCCCTCCCACGCTGCGGCTCACGTCGTGGGCGGCGATCGCCGGGTTGTCCTCCGGCTTCATCAGGCCCTGCAGCAGCTCCCGGTCCGACCAGCCCTCCTTTCGGGCCAGCGTGCCCGGCCCCGCTGGTGCGGCCGGTGTTGTTGCTGTCGACATCGCGGTGGCGGTGGTAGTGGAGCCAACCCCCGAAGACGTGGGCGCTTCTGTGGTACCGCCGAGGCCATCGCCAGACGCTTCTGGCGGCTCCATAGAATCGCGGCCGTGGCCCTGCTTCAGCTCGGCCGCACGGGCGCCACCAACACCGCCTTCGCCAGCGCTACCGCTTTCTTTCTGGGCGGTGGCTCTGCGCGGGCTGCGACCCCTGCCGGCGACACTGCTACCGGCGGGACACACGCCGCCGCTACCGCCGCCGCCTTCACCGCTCTCCTCGTCCGCTTCGTCCATGTCCTGTGCGTCGAGCCCCGAAATCTCGGACCCGTGAACCGTGTGGTCGTCGTCGAGCGCCGACATCTCCGATGTGTCGCCGTCCATGAGGTCAGACTCGCCGAGACTAAACCCTCTACCGGGGGACCTATCCCTGCCCCCGTGCTCCACCCCCGCCCTGCGTGCCGCCGCTCCTATCTCCCCGTCCCCCACTTCTGCGATGCTTCCCCCCTCGGACTGCGACGCAGGGGTCGGCGGGACTTGTCGCGCGCCTTCTGAGCCTAGGGAAGGCGAGAGCCTGTCGGCGTTGTCGACCGGGCTTCGCAGGTCCGCGTCCGTGCTGTCGCTCGGTTGGCGGAATGACTCCTGTGACGGGGGGTAGTTGCCAGCGCGGTAAATCAGAGAGAGAAAAGAGAGAGAAAGAGAGAGAGAGAGAGAGAGAGAGAGAGAGAGAGAGAGAGAGAGAGAGAGAGAAGAGAGAGAGAAAGAGAGAGAGAGAGCGACGGAGCAGCGACGGAGGTCAGTGGTGTGGGTCATGAAAAAGTGGAAAGCGAAACAAGAAAATTCCGACACCGCTTGACTCGAGTCCAGCGGGTGAAACGAACCAACTTTTCATTGTACAAGCAAAGGCAGAGTGAAAGAAAGAACCACACGAAGAACGTTCGTTATACAATAACCGCCCTCCGAAAAAACCCTGCTGCTGCCCTGGCCCCAACTGCCCCGCCGCCCCTCGACTCACATCTTCTGCCCCGTCAGGGGCATCCTCCACCTCCAGGCGCAGCTCTTCTAGCTCCAGCAGCGCCGAGCAGTCGGTGTCATCGAGATCGAACACGCTCGTCAGCTGTTGCTTTCGCTTCGGCCCTCCCTTTCCCCCGACCCCAACCGACACGCTCATCGACCTCACGAGCGCCGCGATGTCCGCCACCTGCCCGCCTCCGCGCACCACGCTCTTGCCGACGCTAGCCACGTTGGTGCTCGGTGATAGTGGCGGCGGCACCGGTCGGTCGGGGCTCTTCGCTGCTGCCACGGCTGCAGCTCCCGCGCTTCCCGCCGCAGGAGGCGACACCTCGTTCCCGGCCCCGGCCGCAACCGACGGGACGATGGGTGATGTCACTACAGCCGCCGCCGTGGCCGCCGCCGCCACCGCCGCCACGCTTGCGGAAGGCTCATTATCCGTGGTCGCCATCGCAGCAGCCGACGACGAAGGCGCTCCTTGGGTGTCCGCTGCTGCTGCTGCTTCCTGGGCGACACCAGCGGCAGCGGGTGCTGCCGTGGAGGCGGCCGGGAGCGCTGGGGCCATGACTTCGTAGGTGTCGTAGAAGTCGCGGTTGGGCCGCAGTTGCAGCCTCGAGCGTTCCGGTCCTTCGTCCATGTCGAGCTTGTACCTCTCCTGGTTTGTGTTGGTGACGAGAGCGGAGACAAAAGGGTCACACGGCAATTTTGAGTACCAAAACTTTCGCAAGACACTATAATAATGGCCGTGGCTACGGTTGTGCTGAAGCCCTCGAAAAAGTTGATGACATACACGAGACGGTCCGAAGCAAAACATGCACCAGCCTGAAAACTCGGCTGCACACAAAATACAAGCGAGGAATGTCAAAAACAACATGGTCCTGAGCAAAACATGCACCCGCTTGAAGACTCGGTTGCGCACAAGGTAAGTGAGAGAGAAGTGGAAAAAACATCGCGGTGGAGAATTTTGATCCGTCCCATCGACAGCAGCTCGCTCACCCCATCGACTCCATCTTGCCCGCCGTCGGTGCCTGGCCTGAGCGCCGTGATCGCTTCCGGGCTACACATCAAGCGGCCGAACAGGCCGCCTTCCCACAGCGAGACCTTGCCCCGCAACCCGGAGAGCTGCACCCTCCACCTCCTCGAGGCCCACGCCAAGTCGTCGGCCCCCGTCCAGACCCACCTGCCGTGTGACGTGGCCACTCGCTCGTACGTGCGCGCTGCGTGATTTTTCATGCGCCGTCGTGTTGTGTTTCGCGACGTTAGATTTACGAAACGCACGAGTCGCGCGTGGTGCACAGCGATCAGCGGCGGCGGAGTCGGCGGGACACAGCAGACATCCAAGGCATACACGTGATTGGGAGGGCGAATAGGCGGGGGGGGGGGGGGGTGCGCACACACTGCTGATCGAACGTGCAACGGGTTCACGAATATCCAACCGTGAACTTCGTTCGTGCTACCCACCGCAAAGCGCGGATGGATTCTGTTGGTGTGACAATCCGTCGGTCCCGGGGGTAGCAACACCAAGACGAATCTACTAGTGCAAGTGCGGACCAACCGCTCGCGCAGGGAGGCCAAACCATCCAACTCCGAGCGATGTCATACCTCATGCGGCAAAGCGAGACAGAGCCGCACACGTCGTAACCTACAGCAGTGAGACAACAAGAGGCCCAGTCGTTCAACGAACCTATCATGTCAGCGCGTTGAATAGCTCGGTCCACCGTGATAGTCTTGCGGTTGGGCCCCGCCGCCAGAGCCCCAAGCGCGCCCCCGACGCCGCTACCCAGCCTAGACAAGGCTGAAGACCCGGGGCCGCTGGCGGCGGCGCCGTAGCCGTAGCCGCCGCCGTTCGCCGCGAGTTCCGCCCGGGAAAGCGCGGCCGTCAGCCCCTCAACGCTCGAGACGTGGGGGATGAGGGTGTACGACCGCTCCGTCGCCCGCTCGAACCCCTCCTTCATCGCGACCTCCTGCCCGCCGCCCGTCAGCCACAGCGCGAAGGCCTGCGCACGGGTGCCCTCGGCCGCGGCCTCTTCGTCCGCCGCCGGGTACAAGGCGGACCCGCCGCCGCCGCCGCCGCCGCCCTCGGCCCCGCCGCCGTCGACCAGCGGCGGCGGCGGCGGTTCCAGCATGGAG